ATTTTTGGGTCTCTACACTGTGGCAGAGTGGTGGAAATGGAAATCCATTTGAATAATCCTCAGGCAGAGCCAGCCCAAGACATTTTGCTGCTTGAGGCAGAATGTCAAATGGTCCCTTCATCCAGTTGGGGTGCTTAGTGCCTAAAACTACCCAAGTTATTTTAGCACACGAGGCAGAAATGATAATTGCTTAATAATAGGACTGGACATGCCTCAAACCACAGAAGAGTAAGAAATAACTAATGCACTGTCAGAACCAGTGGACTCAGTTACCAATAATCAGTAAAACATCTTTCTGTGATAGCAAACAAAATACTTTTATTTCAGGCACCAGGACAGAAGTTACCAGTAGAGTGTTTTTGTCAAAACTGACATACTCATCTGCATACTCTTTAAGCCAGGGTTTGGAACCATACTTCTTCCCTCATGCAGCCTGGGGTGTCCTCCTGGCCTTCTCCACAAAGCCAGTCTCTGTCCCCAGTGCCCTTCTTGGTGCCCCAGGGTCACTCCTCCACACGAGCCAGTGTGTCCTGCTGGGCCTCTCCCTGAAGCCAGTCTTCAGTTCCCTGCATCATCCTCAGCATCTTGGGACTTTTCTTCCATGCAATTCTGTGTGTCTTGCTGGGCTTCTGTCCAAAGCCACTCTCCATTCCCTGCACCACACTCGACATCTCAGGGTTATCTGGGCTGGGCCCCTGACTCTGGAGCAGTACCTCCATCCAGGGCTTCAGCTCCCTGGATGTCTTCCAGCTTTTCCTCAGAAGGCTCCTCTGTGATGAATGCACCTCGGTCAAATGCTGCTGCACCATACAAAGTGTTTTTGTGAGTTTCAGCAAACTGTCAGAACCAGCAGACTCAGTTCCCAATAACCAGTAAAACATCTTATTGTGATAGAAAACAAAATACTTTTATTTCAGGCACCAGGGCATAAGTTACCAGTAGAGTGTTTTTGTTGAAACTGAGGGTCTCTTCCCTCTACCATAGCATTCGAATTCAAACTATCCAGCCCCCTCTTTCTGGCTGTTCATGTTCAGCCTTTGATCCCAATCAAAGCAAATTCTAATAGTCCTTTCTTCCTCATTACTTTTACATACAGCTTCCCCCATATTACCCTTCTACTGCCATAATGGAAAAGGAAAATAAGCAGCCTCTACAAAGCAGGAACACTGTAGGAAGGACAGAGTAATAAAACCATAAATCTTTTCACTCTGCTTACCATTTTCTCTCCTACCATTTGCCCATTCCTTCTACTTCCCATACACAGAGATCATACATAATTCATGCATACATTTCAGTATTCAATCCACTTCAGTATTTGATACATAAATCTTTTCCAATAAACCACACCAATCATGACAGAATCATGCCCATGGATTCTGACATACACATGGTTCCAAAATTAGCTTCATATTATCTCTTTGGGATAAGGAAAGTATCCTGAAGCTTTAGACTAGGGATTCCCAAAATTAGGTCATCCAAGTATTTTGAACTTCAACTCCCAACCAGCTTGGCCAACAGTCAGGAATTCCAGGAGCTGAAGTCCAAAACATCTGGAGGACCAATGTTTAGGAATCGCTGCTTTAGACTCTAAAGTTTAAAGCAAATGGCCTTGGGATTTTTTTTTCTGTCAGTTGTTTCAGTTTCTCTCCTCCTGTCTTCTTCTCACTAGCAGTTTCAAAAGGACCACACATTCTCTTTTTTTATGCATTTTTTCTACCAGACCTTTAGCATTTTTCCCTTTGACTTCCCAAGGACTTGCTGAAAGTCCACTTCACATCAAAAAGAAAGAGAAACACAAAAGTAAATAAACAGGGATGACTGAGGATACTTGAGTCTTCCTTTTCAATCATTGCTGCTCAACCCCTGCTAATGGTGGTGGGGTGGGGGAATAAAAGAGTTCCAGAGATGTGGTGAACTGCAAACAAATTACCTGTGACTACAAAAGTGAAGTGTTTGAGAGGGCAACAAAGGCTATGAAACTGGAACTACGTGTTGTTGTTTTTAGGTCTCTGAAGCATGGACAAAATGTAAATAGCACCACTTACAGATGAGAGAGCAACTTCAGCAGTTTGACACCACTTTAAGCATTATGGCTCCATCCTATGGAATCCTGGGATTTGTAGTTTATTGTGGCACCAGAGCTCTCTGACAGAAAAGGCTAAAGATCTCACAAAACTACAATTCCCAACATTTTATATCACTGAGCCATGGCAGTTAAATCATTGTCAAACTGCTTTAATTCTGCAATGTAGAAGCAGCCATAGTGAATAATATGAGCTGTGGTCTACAACATCTGTTCAAGCCTAACTTCAAACCCAAACTGAATGTAATGGTAAAAAATTCATGTCTTCAAATACATATCTTCCAACTGTCCTGATCTGTCAGGGACAATCTTAAATTCTCCTCTGTTGTCCCAGTTTTTCAACTGCTTTTATAATTTCTTTTTAAATTTCTTTCCTAGATTCTTTTTCCTCCTTCCACTTTCCCCCTCTGCCTGAAGCTTACTTCAGTCACTGCAAATTAAATTCAAGGTGTAAAAATAGTTTGTGCTCAATCAACTTAGTGGTGCAGGAGAGGCAAGGAGTGACAAAATTTTGCCCTACCCAGTAGACTCAGGCGACAGCAATCTGCCACAGCCTCTCTTAGCTTTTTTTTTTTTTTTTTTTGCTTTTTCTCATTAATAATTTTTGTCCTCTTAGCCACATCTGATGATGTTTGGCAACCTGTGTCCCAGCTTTCATCTGTGAATTGTTAGAGGTTAGAGCTTGGAAAGGTTACTGCTCTGGACTACAACTCCCAGACTCCTCCAGATGTGACATATAAGCAGGGGATTCAAGGAGTTCTAGTCCAAAACAGCCACAACAAATTAAGAGTCCAAAATTCATTGGCAATCATGGTGTTAAACTATATTATTTCTGCAGTACCGATGCAGCCTATGTGTGTATATGTTTATTTATCTTAATTCTCTTATACTATTCATATTTTAGTATGTATGTTTATTGTTTGATAGACTTAATTCAGAATGTGTGTTCAAAAAACTTCAATAACAAGATTGGAGAAAAAAACCATGTATGGATCTCCAAAATAAAATCAGAAAGAACAGGAACAAAATCTGGGGCTTTCTGGTCTTCTAAATCAGCCTGGATTCAGACTATTTTCCATCCATCAAAGTGGAAAACTATTCAAAAGATGAGATACAGATAATTTAAATAATTGGCCTATATAAAATTTTGTTTTAAACATTGCTAGAATAACATTTACCAGGGGAAGGAAAATTCTGCCAACCTTGCAAGCTTAATTCTCCCCTTCTTTAGAAATATTTCTAATTTCATCCAACCTTTAAAAAAAAAACACCCTTATGATACAGTCACATTAAAAGAGATAGTTGTGCATACATTTGTTTTTGGCATAAAAAAGCAACAAAGAAACAAACAATACTTACCTGGCAGGGGAGACACCATGATCAAGAAACAAACAATTAATGCAATAGTATCTTTTCCCATTTAGTCTCAAAGATGGTTTTGGACTTCTTTTGGTTTTTCTAGTCACAGTAATCTAACAGTGTAACTCTAAACATTTTTTTATTTCTTGGCAGAATTTGATGAAATTTGCAGCCTTAAAGCAGAATAGGCCTATCGACTTCCCAAGTAAAGGGTACAGGGAGGTTTGTGCAAGAGCAGCCTTTACAGTTTCAAAAAGGAAAAACAGAAATTACTTATAGGTTTTTATGGACAATTGTTACAAAAATGGAATACAAAGCCATGATAGATCAAGCTAGGAAACCTGTAAAATTTCAGAAGATCCAGTGCAGTTTTAGGGAGAAAGGCAATGTTCATATTTGTAAGGTTGAGTGATTTTCCTTCCCTTATCCCCTTCTTGAGATTTTGACAATTGATATGAAAATGATGTATGTTACTGAGGTCTCTATCAGGAAGTAATGTGCAAAATTTCAAAAGGATAGGTGCAGGAGCTTAGAAGTTATAATGACTGAGCAACAGCCAAAGATTTTTCGTTTTTGCCTCAGCTGATGTAGTGTTTCAACATCCTTCCTGCAAACCACTGGGACTGGAAAACCTTGGTAAAACCATTCACAGTGATTAGAAGAAAGAGCTCCCTTCTTTCCCTTTTTCTTTTCCCCACTCTGACAGATGCCTGATATAGAGAGCTTGGCTAGAAAAGTGTCCCACTGCATCCTGATTTCTAACAAATCTTAACAAGTGTTCAAATTTGGCTTTGGGCCATTTCAAAAGACTCCCTGTTCAATTAGAACTTCTCCTGAATCTGTCTGAATTAGATTAATTGAATCTGTGATTCAGGCTTCATCCAAATTTAAAGCAAATGCCTATTTGCCAGGGTTCATTCATATCTGAAATCAAGGTATTGTGTTAGAAACTTGCATTTTGTTTTAATGCAATAACTAAAATGAAAATATTCTAGTTTAGTTCATGCATTAAATAAAACACATGAATATTTATTTTATTTTTAATATAACCTCACTGCTGTCTCTTGTGAGACTACTTTAATGATAAGCAGTGTAGCCCCTTAGACAACACAAACTAGTTACTAGGACAACAGGAGAAAAGCTAGATACTCTAATGGCACCAGATTCCTTCTAATCTTGGAAGCTAATCAGAGTCAGCATCCATAGATTTTGATATCGGGGGGGGGGGG